CTCAAGAAAGAATAAATTCAGTTCCTCTAATCTTTCCTCATAGCTGATCTCCTCCATGCCTCGTATCAGTTTGGTTCCCCTTCTCTGTACTTTCTCCAGTTCCCCAATGTTCTTTTTTTGAATTGGTGCCCAAAACTGAACTGCATATTCCAGATAAGGTCTTACTAATGATTTGTACCGGGTAATATGATATCTCTCGCTCTGGAGTCTATACCTCTTCTAATACAAGAGAGGATTTTGCTCTCTTTAGAAACTGCAGCTTGGCGTTGCATGCCATTATTTAGCTTGTGATCTACCAGAACACCCAGATCCTTCTCCACCATTGATTCCCCCAGTTGTACTCCCCTAGTATGTATGATGCATGCCTATTCTTAACCCCCAAGTGCATAACCTTACATTTATCAACATTAAACCTCATTTGCCACATAGTTGCCCAATTAAACAGTGCATTGAGGTCAGCTTGTAAATTGGAGACATCCTGTAAAGACGTTATTGCACAGCTTGATGTCATCTGCCAAGACTGAAATGGTATTTTTAATCCCAGACCCCATATCATTTAGAATTCTATTTAAAAAGCAAAGGTCCCAACAGTCACACCTTCCCTTCAGATATAAAGCAACTGAACTTGCAAGTGCACTTGTGGTGTACTTGCAGTGCACAGTATATTTACCTTTAGTAAATCAACCCCATTGAATATTTATCTCATTGAAAGTAAACAAATGTGTGTAAAAATAAATAATAATAATAAAAATTAAAATAACAATAAAATAAATAAATACAAATAATTTTTACGCATTTTTTAAATTATTAGTCAATATGTCTTAGGTAGGATAAAAAAAAGCAAAATGCTCATTATTGTTTCTGGGCCTTACTACAGGTACAAAAAACAAATAACATGCACATATGTGGTATTGCTGCAATCGTCAGCTGCAGGAGAATTAATTTTAGGGGTGTTCTTTGGTTGTAGGTTATGGTAATAGCAAGAAATATACAACTAAATAAAAACAAAGATTTTATTTTAATATTTTGGGACAGTTTACCTTCGATAATAATGAAAAATAAATAAAGAGATATTGGTTACCATTTACCAACAAAAGAAAGCCCAATTTTTCCTGAAAAAAAAAATAAGGTATAATCCACCTGGATACACAAAGTAGATGTGATGGTATGTACTATTTTATCAACACATGTCAAAGTTGCAAAATTGTGTAGAGGCATTAAGATTTTTTTACCCTTAGTCACTAAGGGGTTAAAAGAAGGATGTTAATACTTAAATCTAACCAGTGAGACATTATCAAACCAATTTTTTTTAAATGGGGAAAAAAGGTTGATATTTTTGCAATATTAGGTTATGGGAGAATTTCTAGAATGCTAAACAGTATTACATATTTCTTTCTGCAATAAACAGGATCATTTTTAAAACACTGTAATATATTTTTCTTCATTGTCATCCATACACACACAAATATACTATGATTATGTTAATCCTTTATTCAGGATGTTAGTTACGCAGTTTTAAAATATTACACTCATCTCTACAAGTAAATTGATTCAAATTCCATGTAGTAATTACATTCCTAGATCACATTGAGTCACTGCATTACAGAGTTCATTGTGACTTCTTGCAGAGGAATTAATATCCAAAGAACTGGCTTATTTTCCAGGAAGGTCTGCACAATTGTATTTTTTTGACCAGTTGACCTCCAGCTGTCCAGACAGGGTCTATGAATGTTCCTAATGAGCTTTTCATTAGCTCTTTAAGAATGCTGGATCACATCTTAAAGGGAGAGTATAGTTATTGCAATGATGTTTTAGATACAATTCAAAAACAATTGCAATAAATGATCTTATACAAATAAATAATCAATATGAAGTTTTTCTAAAAAATGCTTTAATGCATTTATAGAACTTGTATTTATATACAGTTGTGCTCAAAAGTTTGCATACCCTGGCAGAAATCGTGACATTTTTGCATTGATATTCAAAATTTGACTGATTATGCCGAAAAACTTTTATTTAAGGATAGTGAATATTTGAACTCATGTATCATCACATAGTTTTTTGGCTCCTTTTTAAATCATAATGATAACAGAATCACAGAAAGAGTCCTAATCAAAAGTTTACATAACCTGGAATGTTTGGCCTTGGTACAGACATACAAGGTGACACACACTGGTTAAAATTCAAAGTTTTTAAAAACAATTAAAGGTTAATTTCCCACATCTGTAACTTTTTAAATTGCAATTAGTGTCTATGTATAAATAATGAGTTTGTTGGCTCTCACATGGATGTACTGAGCCATGGGGAGCAAAAAAAAAAATGTCAAAAGTCCTACATAATAAGATAATATAACTTTATAAAGATGGAAAAGGATATAAAAAGATATCCAGAGCTTTTATTATGCTAGTCAGTACTTTTCAATCACTTATTAAGAAGTGGAAAGCTCGAGGATCTCTTGATACCAAGCCAAGGTCAGGTAGACCAAGAAAGATTGCAGCCACAACTGCCAGAAGAATTGTTTGGGAAACAAAGAGAAACCCACAGGTAACTTCAGGAGAAATACAGGCTGCTTTGGAAAAAAAAAAACAGTTGTTTCAAGGAGTACAATATGACAATACTTGAACAAAAATGAGCTGCATGATTGTGTTGACCGAAAGAAGCCTTTACTGCACCAATGCCACAAAAAAGTACGATGAGGCATGTCAAGGTGTTGTCGGGCATTATGTAACTGGGCTTTTTGTGGCACTAGAGCAGTAAAGGCTTCTTTCTGGCAATTCGTCAATTCATTTTTGTTCAAGTATTGTGCTCCTATAAAAACACTACCTTTTTCCAGAGCAGCTAGTATTTCTCCTGAGGTCACTGTGGGTTTTTCTTTGTATCTCGAACAATTCTTGCACAGGGATGTTTGATTCCTATCGCCCGATGCCCAGAACATGTAGTCCTGGGCGCCGGGCAGGATACTTTTTTCCTCCTTTAGCCCTGCTGCTTGCCCGCACCTGTCAGGTGAAGAAATTGGTGGCAGCGCTGCCACCAATTGCTTTCACACAGTGCTAGCCTCCGCACCACAGGCGTGAGGTTTCCCGGGCTCCGCTTGCCCATCTGCGGGCCCGGCTCGCCGTCGGCTAGAGAGGAGGGAGAAGAGCAGACAAGTCCGCTCCCCTCCACTTCTTGTGCTGACCCAGAAGTGACGTTACAATGTCACGTCCGGGTCCCCTTTGAGAGGTTAATGCAATCCCCGGGAATTAATGTAATATGGTGCAGATGTGCACCACATTACAGTCAGTTGAGCAGAGGAGAGACATGCAGGGTCTTTTAGACCTTGGATGTCTCAAAGAGAATCTGTCACCAAAAAATCATCACATAGGGAACTTTGTCCCCCACATGAAGGAAAAAAAAAAGTGAAAAAAAGTATTTTGTTTTTATTGCAAAAAAGTAAAGTTATACCTAAGCACATACCATATTGAGGCCCCCACCCCCACATATACGCATGTACAAACATAAAATCACACGCTGGGGCGCCTACGCATGAAACCATTGATTGCAATACACATGTCACATATCACCGCGCACGCCAGAATGAGAACAATAATTCTAGCACCCCACTTCTCCATAACACTAAACTGGTGACCTATAAGGAGCTTTAAAAGTGTCGACCTATAGAAAATATAGGGTACTGAAGTTCGCTGCCATTTCACGAACGCGCACAAAGTTAAGGTTTTACAAGATGGGTATCTATTTACTCGCTGCAACCTCATCTTTTATATATTCCAAAAAATATAGCTTTCTTGTGCCCTACAATTAACTTACTTGTATTTCTTACTCAAATTTTGTGGTAAAATCATGCAACATAAAAAATTGGAACTACCACTATTTTATTCTCTAGTGTCTCTAATTTCAGAAAAATATATCATGTTTGGGAGTTTTGTGTAATCTTCAGGCCTAAAATTATTTTTTAAACGTGTGCAAAAAAGGCAAAGATGGCTCTGGCAGTGAAAGGGATAAAGTATAAGCCCTGACCCACCCTTTTCCTGCAAGGTCTCTCTGCTCCCTGCTAGTCCCCAGGTGCAGTGCTGGAGACAGGCAGGGACGAGGAGATAAACAGCACAATGGTAAAAATATTACACATTTAAGTAGCCATAAAGCCTCTTTAGTTTTTAAAAAGCCCCCCCCCCCTTAACATAATTTTTTAAATCAGGACAAGTAGATTGTCATGAGGGACAGAAAGATTGGGGCCCTTATTTAGTCCCTGGACAGGTAGTTTTTTCAAAAATTTCCACACCTATGTAGCAGTTGTGGCTGCAATCTTTCTTGGCCTATCTGACCTTGGCTTGATATCACGAGCTTTCCACTTTTCCACTAATAAGTAATTGAACAGTACTGACTGGCATATTGCAGGCTTTGGGTATCTTTTTATATCCTTTTCCATGTTTATAAAGTTCCATTAACTTGTTATGCAGGTCTTTTGATAGTTCTTTTCTGTTCCCCATGGCTCAGTATCTAGCCTGCTCAGTGCATCCAGTGAGAGCTAACAAACTCACTGACTATTGCATTTTAAAAAGTCACAGATGTGGGAAATGAACCTTTAATAGACATTTTAACCAGTGTGTGTCGCCTTGTGTGTCTGTACCAAGGCCAAACATTCCAGGGTATGTAAACTTTTGATCAGGGCCATTTGGGTGATTTCGGTTATTATTATGATTTAACCACTTGCCTACCGGGCACTTTTACCCCCTTCGTGCCCAGGCCAATTTTCAGCTTTCAGCGCTGTTGCACTTTGAATGACAATTGCGCAGTCATGCAACACTGTACCCATATGAAATTTTTATAATTATTTTCACACAAATAGAGCTTTCTTTTGGTGGAATTTAATTGCCAGTGGGGTTTCTATTTTTTGCACAATAAACAAAAAAAGAGCAAAAAAAAAGTTTTTCTTTGTTTCTATTATAAAATATTGCAAGCAGGTAATTTTTCTCCTTCACTGATGTGCATTTATGAGGCTGCACTGATAGGCAACACTGATGGGCACTGATGAGGTGGCTCGGATAGGCAGCACTGATGGGCACGGATAGGCTGCACTGATGCTGTAGCACTGATAAGGCGGAACTGGTGTGCATTGATGAGGAGGCACTGATGATGCTGCACTGATATGCAGCAATGATGGTCACTGATAGGTGGCACTGATGGGCACTGATAGGTGGCACTGATGGACGACACTGACGGATGGGCTGACTAACGGCGCTGACTGATGGCACTGACTGGCGGAACTGATGGGCAGCACTGCTGGGCACTGATGAGTGCAACTTCTGGGCAGGACGGCTGGGTGGCACTGCTGGGCAATGGTGGGTGGCCCTGCTGCGCACTGGTGGGTGGCACTGCTGGGCAGCACTGCAGGGCACTGATCATCAGGGCACCAATCATCAGTGCCCTCATGATCAGTGCCGATCTCCTTTGTGACAGCTTCCGGTTATCAGCAATACTTTCCTCACGCTGTGACAGCGTGAGGAAAGTGCTGCTGATAACAGGCAATTGTGTTTACTCCGTGATCTGCTGTGTCACTGGACACAGCTGATCACATGGTAAAAGGCGCTGTGATTGGCCTTTTACCTCATCACGTGATCAGCTATGTCCATAGGACACATCAATCCCAGAGATCGCCGGGTGCGCCGCTGGGGGCACCCGGGAGAGTGCGTTCTGGGAGGACATTATATGACGCCCTCCCAGAACTGGACAACTGTGCTGTAGCCACACTGGAGGGTTTTCAAGCATGAGCAGCCTGTTTAACCACTTGCCTACTGGGCATTTATACCCCCTTTGTGCCCAGGCCAATTTTCAGCAAAAATTTGAAAAGCAAAAAAAGTTTGTATTTGTTTCTATAATAACGTTTTGCAAACAGGCAATTTTTCTCCATTACTGATGATAGGCAGCACTGATGCACACTGATGAGGTGGCACGGATAGGCAGCACTGATAGGCTGCACTGATCATCTGAGCACTGATGATCAGTGCTGATCTTCTCTGTGACAGCTGCCAGTTATCGGCAGTACTTTCCTTACGTTGTGACAGTGTGAGGAATGTGCTGCCGATAACTGGCAACTGTATTTACTCCGTGATCTGCTGTGTCATTGGACACAGCTGATCACGTGGTAAAAGGTGCTGTGATTGGCCTTTTACCTCATCACATGAACAGCTTTGTCCGTAGGACACTTCGATCACAGAGATCGCCGGGTGCACACCGCTGGGGGCGCGCAGGAGGGTGCGTTCTGGGAGGGCGTCATATGATGCCCTCCCAAAACTGGACAACTGTGCTGTAGCTGTCATTCGGCTATAGCGCGGTTAGCAAGTGGTTAAAAAGGAGCCACACAGCTATGTGACAATAAATGGCTTCATATGATCACTATCCTTACATAAAAGACAGGGTTTTTTTTTTGGCATGATCAGTCATATTCTCAATATAAATGGCACAATTTCACGATTTTTGCCAGGGTATGCAAACTTTTGAGCACAGCTGTATGTACATGAAGGCTGATGTATTAGCAGGTAAAGTCAGGTTATGCTTATGCTGCTTTGCTTTTGGACACATTAGCTTTGAGTTATTTTTATTTACACAACTGCTTCTAACTACATTGCATTGTGGGTATAATTCCATGAATATGGGCACATCTAGCAATGGTCTTGTGTGCTTTAGGATTTTTGCCTATTTAAAACAAACATTTGCAAGCTCCATTTAGCCATTAGGATGTAATTCACTAAATTTATGTTAAAAATATTAACCTTTTACGTAATCTCATCTGACAAAATTTAATCTCGCTTGCTCCCTTTCATTCAGAAACAGGGCATCTTTTGATCAATTACTAGGATGCTCCACTTGGATAAACATACTAACCCTTTAGTCATCATCATAAATAGATTTGAACTTGGGCACCGTACTGGGATCTTTATTCCTATAGGCATTAACTCTATAACAACTATTTAATGACTGTGATGAGTATAATCAACATCAAGAAGCAGACCAACTCAGTAGGGTTTAAATGACTCCAACAATGTTTTTTCATTCTTTCACTTCAGAACTCTGATTTGTTTTTTTTGTCTGTCTTCTCATTTTATTTATTTATATGTTTGCTCTGTATGCCTAAAAGCGCATTTCTGCATTTTGTAAAATTTTCATCATGTTTTAAGACAGGTCAGCATGATAACTAATTTCATAAAGAGCATTTTATGATCCGTTATGCTTGAATGGTGAAGTCCCAAATGAGAATAGTGATGTGTGTCTATAGCTACGGTACATTGCTGGTCTACAGCAGTCTACAGTTAGCTCTGGTTCATAATAAAATCTTCACAAAGGTATCTATAGTGTTGCTGATATATCAAAATACCTTCAAAGGGTGAGTGTCAGTCTGGAGTTGTAGGCATTCCTAGAAAGGCTGTATTTGTATGCATTCTTTTGTAATAGTAGAGTTGGGCTTTAAGTTTTCCTTGAATATGAAATCCCTTTGAGGATACGTTTGCTGTGAGTGGCCTGATGTCACATTGTGTGTCATCAAGCCACTCATACAGTAAACATATCCTCAAAGAGATTTCATGTTCAGGGAAAACTTAAAGCCCAACTCTACCTACTGTATTACCAGAGAATGGGAAAAGGAACACATTCTGTTTACTACAGTAATCCAAAATATCAGATATTGGATGTTTGTCAATAGGTCTACCGATATGACCTATTTTATGAAAACAATATTATGGCATAACATGAACTGGTTAGGGTATACATTTAAATAACACAATCACTGCCTTTCCTCATGCAGAAAATAGCGTACCTTTAAAGCATCATAATCAAAGCGGTATCCCGCTGCTCTCGTAAGTAGGAGTTCACAGCTTGACTCCCGGCAAATCTTTTTATTTCCACCTCACTCACCTCGAAGCTGCTGTTTTTTACTCTCATAATGCTATTCCCTGAAATTATTTTCAAGAGTTCTGTTTGTTTCAAAAGGTTTCACATTTCACCATGGGCAACTGGCTAGCCTAAAACTGACCCAGCAAAATATACAAACAGACTTAATAAAATATTTCTAAAGCCAAAATGTCTTTTTTTTTGGATCTCATAGGGAAGCGTTAAAACCACTGCCATTGCCAGGGTTGTTTTTTTTTTTTGCATGTGTGTCTAAAAAGATTTCCTTTAACAGGAAATGAGAGGATATCCAACCAATCACCAATGTGGGGAAAAATCACCTCGAAGACAGCTGAAATGGCATTAAATGTTCCCACTAAAAACCTGACAGTGCTTCTACTCCCTTGCCACTTGATCCAAAAAGTTTTACCTTTAGTTATACTTTCAGACTGGCATATTTAAATTGATATTTTCTTAATTAATTCCTTCTATAGATGGTGGGCATTTGTGCACAGATAATATGTCATGATACAGCTGAATCTACAACCTGTATGGCACACAAAGGATCAAACTGAGAGACCAAGGTCTGCATATTTCAAGCACATATATATGGCCTAATAGAGATAAACTGACATATGCTGTAATGGAAATATCATCCAATTTACACAAAGTAGTACTTGTGTGCGTTAACAGGATAATCATTTTATGATCATAAAAATGAACAAAATACGTTGTACTTTATCACACTGGAATACACTACATTTTTATGAGTTAAAGGTCTTTCATTAGCAGAATTAAATTCACTAAGTATCTGTAACACAATGAGAGTCAGCTCTGTCATCTTAGAGATGTATCATTCAAACTGCAAATGTGTGTACATCTGAATTATATCTACATTCTATTTTAATGATAACACATAACTACAAGAAAAATATTGCTGCAGAATTACCCTAACATTTCTTATTCCTGATATGTGTCTGTTGTACCATATACTTGTGTTAAGAAGTATCCTGTTCTCTTTGCATTGCTTCCTTTGTGTGAAATACCGGGAAATCCTGCCAATCCCCCTGCTTTCCAATTTCAAATTGACCACAATAGGCATGAGAGCACATTCATCCCTGTGTGGTCAGTTTTCTGGCTGTGCTAGCCTTTTTTTTTCTCTTTTTTTATAAGGTATTCAAAGTGCTCCTCTTTATATTACATGCCCCGTTACATCACAGTGTTCCTATTTACATCACATTCTCCCCCTTTACAATACAGTTTTTCCCCCGCATCCTTACATTAAAGTGGCACCCTGAAAATTACAGTCCTTTACATTACAGTACCCTCTTTTACATTTGAGCACTTTATGTTGCAGCCCCCCCTCTCCCTTTAAATTACAACCTCCGTTACATTAAAACCCACCTTTACATCACAGCCCTGCTTTGCCTTACAGTCCCTCCATATACATCACAGAGTACCCCTTTACATAGAAGCCCCCCTCCCCCTTTACGTCACTGCACCACTCTTTACAATGTAGCCCCAACCCTTTATATATCAGCTACCCTTTACAATAGAGCTCTTCTTTATATTACAGTGCCCCCTTTATATAGTAGTATTCCTTTACATCACAACCCACCCCATTTATATTAAAGTCCCCTACTTTACACTACAGAACCCCTGTAGAATATAACCCTCCCTTTAGATAGCAGTTCCCCCCTTTACATTGCAGTCCTACCTTACACAGCAGGGCAGAGGACAGGAAGTGAGACAGGCTTTAATGGAGGGCAAGAGATTTCCAACTTTTCTTGATAAATAGTGGATGATTGGTTGCTAGGACTGGCCTGCATTGTAGCAACCAATCACCGCTAGTTAAAAAGTGGGGCTGCTCCTGCCCCCTATCCAGACCAGCCACCTCACCAATCCTCTGCCCGGCAATGAAGCGGACAGTGTCAACTTCACAGCAGGACAGAGCACCAGAGTGCTGGCAGGTCTAGACAGAGGTGTGGGGGAAGAGAGGGGACAAAGGCAAAGCTAAATGGCATGGCCACATCAGCCTAGACAGATCTGTCGCTCGGTTTGGGTCCGAACCATGGTCTGCCATTTAGTGATGCCTGCTTTATATTCTTTGTATTCTACCTATCAAAAATGTATTATTCTTCTTAGCCAGTCCTATGATTTACACACCACTGTCACACTGCACAGCCAGAAAGATCATTCTTATACTTACTGGTTCAGCTGCTGGTACCAGTACGGTTTCCTGAATCACCTCCCTGCTAATTGCACATTTACAAAAGGAATATAATCTCTTCACCTAGCAAAATGAATGTTCACTTTGGAAGGTGTAGGTTTACATTGCTTTGGAAGGTGTAGGTTTACATTGCAAATTCAATATTAGTATAATAATATTAGTCGTGTTCACTTTGAATGTTCAAATATCCTTTTTCTTTATGTTCTTCAAACATAATTGGGTATTTAAAGTGATGATAGCTACCCTAACATTAAGGCTAATGACACAAGCAATTCTGTTGCTAGCAACAAATTGGCAATGGTGGTATCATTAAAAAGGCTACTTGTGTGTCCCTCTGGAATCACTTCCTCTGTAGCCAAATGCAGTGATTACATAGGGACAAACAGGTCACCTCCTAACAATTCTGCCGCTGCAGATTTTTACAGTTTTGTGCCATCAGCCTTACTTTGCAGTGTGAACATAGTGTACATAGTCCAGAGAAAACATTCACTTTACAAGCTAGACAACTTCCATTGCTCTTGTAATCTACCCCTCTGTCCAATGAAGTACCTGGAGGCAGAGAGGTAACACTGAAAGCTATTGGAATTGCTCAACCAGGAAATAAGTGTGTCACTTGTCTCTAGCTGTGCAGTGTGCCATACATGTGTAAATCGCAAAATTGGTAATACATAATTACAAATCCTTTGGCAGGTAGATCAGTAACCATATACAGTATGTATTTAAACAGTGCAGGTACCTATTTCCCTACAGTTCTGCTTTAAGACTCTACTCTATCAACTTTCCCTTCACATTTTTATTCCATTTAAATCACATTACAACAGGACATCTGCTGTAAGCACAGCATAAAAAATCCACTGCCCATTATAGAAAAAAAAAACATAAATATCCACTG